CTTCTGTTTCCCTCTTAACTATTTAGGTTCAATTTCTAAGTTTTCATGTGTATGTATGTGATTGACTGATGATTATACTTTTGTCTGCATTTGGTAGGGTTTGATTAAAGCAATGGCTGATGTTATTCCCAAAGCTGAGCAAAGGTTTTGTGTGAGGCATATTTGGGCTAACTTCAAGCTCAACTTCACTGGATCAACCTTTAAGGAGCTGTTTTGGAGAGCAGCTAGGGCCACCACCATTGTAAGTTTATTGATTGTTGAAGCTAGCCTATGCTTTTATATGACTGTTGGTGTGTTTTTATATTGGTTAGCTTGTATATGCTTGGTGTGATTTCTGGTATGCTTTTATATGTCAGTTTGAGCATGAAATTGCCATGGAGTCTATCAAATTCCTCGATGAAGAGGCATATGAGTATTTAATCAACATTCCTCCCCACCATTGGTCTAGACATGCATTCACACCAAACTGCAAGTCCAACATGTTGTTGAACAACATGTGTGAGACTTTCAATGCAGTCATTAGGCCTGCCAGAGATAAACCTATCCTCACCCAAATGGAATGGATGAGGAGGTATATTATGAACAGGAATAATGAAAAGTGGGAGGATTCAAAAACAATTACACACAACTTAGTGCCATATGTGAGGCATGTTCTGGGGAGGATAGACTTTGTGGCTAGGTCCTGTGTGGTGCAGCCATCCAGAGGGAATACATTTGAGGTGCAGCTGAAGGATGACCAGGTGTTGGTTGATTTGGACAAGGAGACCTGCACATGTTACCATTGGGAACTCACTGGCATTCCATGTGTTCATGCTTATGCCTGCATATTGGATATGAGGGGTGACATAGAGGCTGTTGTTGACCCATACTATACCATGGACACATACAGGTCTGCTTATGAACCAGCTGTCCAACCAATGCCTGGCCCAAAGCACTGGGAGAGAGTCAGAATGAGGGAACCACTACCCCCTTCTGTTAAGGTGCAACCTGGGAGACCAAAGAGCAAAAAAAGGAAGCTTGAGCCAGGAGAATGTTCTTCTTCAGGTGGTCAGGCAAGTACCAAGAGGAAGAAGCAATGCAGCAACTGTGGGGGATATAGGCATTATGCCAAGACTTGCAAAGTACCTGCTGCACCAGCTACAGAGCTGATAAAGTCAGCAGGCAGACCCCCACTGAACACTCCTTGGATGGTGGAGGAGAGGAAGAAGAAAGAGATTAGGGCTGCTAAAAAGGTAACACAAGCATTACACCAACTCCCCCTTTGTTTTATATATGTATGTGTCTTTTCCATTGACTTTTTATTTTTATATGCATGTCATAGAGTGCAATTGGGGCTGGACCAAACAGCATAGGAAACAAAAAGTTTCCTCAAGAGCAAGAAGGTTGTCTGCCATTCAGCAAGCGCCCACAGCCACAGTCTTCCTCAGCTAAGCATTCCTCAGCTCAGCCATCCTCTAGTCAGCCATCCTCAGCTCAGCCTTCCTCAAGTCAGCCTGCCTCAAGCCAACCAAAAAGAAAGACAAGGTCTTCCTCAAGTCAGCCTACAACAGCCACAGGTGTTGTAACAAGGGCCAGGCTGCAATCCCTCAACAACCTTACTCAGTGATGTACTCATGCTGGATATCAAACATTATGTCTGTTGAACAATTTCAAACTTTTATTATGTACTCATGACTGGTTATGTAACTTGCTAGTTTTTTAGTGGCTTCCCTTAACAAATTTGAACAATTAGATATTGAATTGTAATGGTTGCATGGCTTTGATTGCCATTGAAACATGTTGAAGTAAGGTTCTTTTGTCAACCTGTACTTGAACTATCTTAGTGTTTCACATATTTCCCATGTTTTAATGTTTCACATGTTTAAATAGGTTGATTAAAAGACAAGGCATAAATAGGAACTTAGACAAGGCATAAATAGGTTGATTAAAAGACATATTTATAACACTTCAAGTCATTACAAGAAATTATAACTACTTAATACAGCTTACTATTACACACCCCTAGCCATTAGGAAAATTACACCCATTGACAAACCTATACAAATGGCCATGCCCACCCAACCAAAACAGCTGATTGAAGACACCTTCCCTTCATTGCACTCCCTGTTCATTCTCTTCCTGTCAGCGTTCAAGGCCTTGCATCTCATCTTCAAATTATCAACTTCATTAAGTAGGCACCTCCTTTGGCCACTGATTTCATCAACTTCCCTTTTCAATTCATTAACTTCACCCTTTAGCAGCTTCTTATCCAACAACAGGTTGTTGATAACCCCTGTTTGCCAATCTGTTCCATCAGGTTGATCAACCCATTCGAAAGCTTTGCAACCCCTTGTTTCTGTTATTGGGTCATAAAACTTACATGATATGAACTTCCTGCCTGGATTCTCCCTTGTCCAGCTAGTGAGCTTGGCCATTGGCACACCACACTTACATTTTCTGGCCTCAGGAGGGGAAGAGCTAACAAACGACATAATCTGCATCAATTTTAGATCGACAGTCACATTTACAGATTTGTACACTGACGAATTAACATTGACAGCAACAAAATTCATTTTTAATTTCATAATACGAAAAGCCCCAAATTCAATTTCTGACGAACCCTAATTTCGCAATTGGGCATTTAGATGCGTACATAACATAATCCAACCATTAATCTGAGTACGAAACAATTGCAAATAATAATTGAAGAGAATTTAAACCATAATTACCAAACAACCGAACAATTGACCGCACTCACCTGTTTCAGCAGCTTCAATCTGTTCCTCTTCTCAAAAATCGTGGAAGAATCGTGAAAGAATTGTTTCAAGTATCGTGCAACAATGCAATGCGCTGCTGCTATTCAATAAGAACAACGATTTCGTTCATTGGGGGAGAATCGTGCAAGAATGGTTCTTATATATCGTGCAAGAATCGTGGAAGAATGGTTCTTATATACAGATCTTTTAAAAATATATCCGTTGGGGTGGGCCCCACTAACAGTTCTGTTAACGGAAGATGGATTTTGGTGTTAACTTCCAACTTTTATATTTTTGGGAGGTGTTAAAATAAAAGTTTTTTTTTGGGGGGTGTTAAAAAACATTTTCAGCCTTTTGTAAGGTGTTAAAATCCAAAATATCCTTAGTTTTAACTATAGTAAATAATTTTTTTTAAAAAATTGGGGTGTTGAGTTTGGTGTGGAGGGTTGGGTGGTCATAGGTTCATGCTGACTAGGGTGAGTGGGAGTTGTGTGGTTCGATCGATCGGCTAGGTTAGGGCTAGGTGAGAGTTCGGTACATAATTGTGGTTTGAGAGTAAGGGTTGGGGTTTGGGTGGGAGTTCGCCAAATAAGTGGGGTTCGAGAGTTAGAATTAGGGTTTGGGTGGGTGTTCGCTGGACTGGTTGGGACACTAGGGTGTAAAGTCAAAATGTATCTAATAAAAGGAATAGATGGAGTATTAGAGCAACTCCAATGGTAAGCTAATTAGCAAATTAGCTTTTCTAGCCACATAAGATTTTAAAGCTAATTTTTTTTGTAGCTAGTTTGTGCCCTGGCTTACTAGCTTGTGGTGTTTGCAAGAGAGAAGAAGAATATGTCATGCATGCGTTAAAAGAATGCGATTTAGCCCGAGCAATTTGGAGTAAGTGCAATTATTCTATGGTTTTGTCTCACTCTCTTTGTAGTATGGGTGACTGGTGGGAGCACTGTTTTGGTAATTTTGAAGAGGATATGGTGAGTTTAATTACCATGTGTTGGGCTATGTGGGGCGCAAGGAACAAATGGATGATTGAGGGTGAAAATCCGAATGTTGAGCAAATTGTTGCCTATGCTTTGAAGATTGAAGGTGGGAAAATTAAATAACATGGGGAATGGAGGGGTAGAAAGAGTGTCTCTGTGGGCAGGTCTCCTCCGACATTTGCTGTGGTTAAAATTATTGTTGATGTTGGTGTTGGGGGAGGTGGGGACGGGGCTGGGTGCAGTCTGCAGGAATAATGAGGGGGTGGTGCTTTGGGGAGCTACGGTGTAGTGGAGTGAAAAATGAGAGACTAAGATTGCAAAGGTGAAAGCGGTATTTTGGGGCATGAAGATTGGGAGACACAAGGGTATGAGCTGCATCGGGATCGAGAGTGATAATCCGGTGGTGATTGAGGCAATGAGGAAATGTTTGTATGGCTCCTGTTCCTTTCATCTGATTATAAAGGATATTCTAGATTTTTTCTTCTTCTAATTTTACTAGTGATTCATGGTCTTTTGTAAAGCGAAGGGGTAATAACGTAGCACACAAATTGACTTACTTTCAACCATGGGAGTTTGGCCATTGGGTGTGGAGTGATGTAATCCCTCCTCGCATTTTGGAAATTTCTTCGGTTGATCTAGATGGGTTTTTTTTTTTTTTCAAAAAACACAAAGTATTAAAGTTTTCACTTCCAAAGTTATTCACAAATAATTTTAGTTTTACACAGACCACTAACCAACTCATATAATTAACTAACTCATACAATTCTACACTTTCTAGTATGCAACCGTATTTATAATAAAAATGTAGGTGACCGTCAGCTGATGTTAAAATCGCAAAGGTAACACTATCTATACAATTGCATAGTTCACATTTTACATAACACAATTAATTTGTCATAATGGCTACGACAAAAGAGTCATCCAAACCACATTTTTTTTTGAGGAAAAATCATCCAAACCACATTTACGACATGATAACTTGAATTAACTTACGTTACCATACTTTCCTTTCGATTGTGGTAAACTCAGTTTAATTAATGTAATTTCAGCCGTTTTTTAAAAAAAAACTTACAAACAAATTATACAAGTTTTAGTGTGTGAAAATAGTACTTGAAAAATGGAAGTGTACAGATAAACTAGTACTCTGTAATTTTTAAAACAGGTTTACTCTAAACCCTTAAAAGGTCTGTCCTGCCCTTAATTGGACGATCGTACGAAGACTCAGCCCATTTATTTATTATACGGATCTAACCCATTAATAAAAGTGGCGGGTCATGGGTCATGGCTTTTAATAGGATTCAAGGCGTCCAACCCATTGAACTGCTCTATTGAAGCGCATTCAACGTTTCCATTGAAGCGCAGTTGCCGTTCTCTATTGAAGCTAGTTCTTGTATCCCCCATTGAAGCAGCTTCTGAGGTAAGTTGTCTGTATTTGTTATCATCATATCAAATATCCCTAAAATTATGAGATAATTGAATCAAATTTGGTTGCTAATGTATTGCACAACACTTTAATGTTAGGATTCAGCTATGAAATCAGAGCTCTTTTCCCTGGGCCCAGGGCTGCCGCCCGTCCTGCCCTTCCTCAAGGACGGGCCTGATTATATTAGCATATAATTTTTATTGTTAGTATTAAAATTAATTTTCAGATTTGAATTATGTTTATTTTAGGGTTTAAGTTGTGAAATTTGAAGGTTTAATTGAGTTCTTATGAAACTAATTGAATTCTAATTATATATTTCAAGTATATATTGTTGTATTCATACATTCTATTATTAAATTAAATTTCCAGATTTTTAGCTTTAGTTTTAGTTTTAAAGGTTTTAGCTCATGGTTTTATGATGGATTTTTAGGTTTTTAACATACTAACCTACTACTTAATGATTATTCCAAGTAGTGATGTCTATGAGGCTGTTTTATAATCTTAAACTAAAATTTCAGATTATTTTCCTTACTTTAAAGTTAATGGAATTTCATGTTATAAGCTATATTTTCATGATTTTAACATATAAACTTATAGTTGAACTACTAAATTATTAATTTTGACTATTGTGAATAATTTAAAGGCATTATTTCAATGGTTTAAGGGGTTTTAAAGTAGTTTGGTATTGCTGTAAATTATATTGCTTGGGTATTGATTGAATTATTGTTGTTTGGTTTAGGAGAGAACTTCGTAGAGGGCGATTTCTAGTTCCTAAAGTGGCTAACCAACTCGTTTAAGGTACGTCCAAGGATACGAAAAACCTTGACTTAAGGAGCATGTTTAAGGACTTGCGAAAATTTAGAACCATGTTAGGAAACTTGTGGATTAGTTGAAATTGTATGGTAGTGAGTTTGATTGGTGATTAATGTGATGATTGGTTTTGAGTCATGTATGAAAAATGCGTATTGATTTTTCTTATAAGTATTATTGATGCAATAACTTGCAAGATGAGCTCAGAGGCAAAGGTACATGAATATATGGAATGAATTATTTTATTACTCGTTCACTTTTATTGAAATGGAATGAGTAAAGGAAGAATTAAAGTCTTATAAGACGAGGTTGATGATTTGAGGTGCCTTATGCACTTAAGGTGTTTATACACCGAGGTAGTTAAAGGATTTAATAATAAATATTGTTTGTCACTAATAAATCAAGAATTGAATTGGAAATTTGAATTGTTTGAATGATTGATGTATGATTGGTTGTATTGTTTTGCATTTGAGTCATCACCAAGTTTAAACCGGTAAATCACGTAAAGTGCAAGATGGATGAGCAATAAAACTCTGGATTTGTGCACATCTAGAGTATTGGGGTTCACGGGGTATTAGCCGTGTACTTTTTAGAGGCCGCCTAATCTACGAGTCTCTTGTTTTCAAATACTTTTTAAAACTATAAGGAGTTAGATGAGATCTCATACTAGCTATGGCCACGGAGTCGCGCCCGTCTGATGTTTCTGAAAGGAGGCATGGGGTTTTTCTTTTATTGATGTTCCAAAATGGAGCATGGGGAGACAACCTTGTCTATTGCTTAATCCAATCAATGAATAAAGAGTAATTAGTGAAGTCTTAGTAATTTTATCAGTTGAGGCATGTGTTTGAGTCAATAATTAAATTGTGTGTGCTGATTGATTTTTAGTAACATGCTAGGGATTATTTGTTATATTTCGTAGCTTGTATGTACTAAGCGTTGCTGATTGCGTGCTTTTGTGTGTCTCTTTCCTGGTCATGGCCTTCGCCTTTTCAATGACCCTGTAATAGTCAAATTTTTAGACTTGTAATATTGGGGAATTTCTAGACTTGTAATATTGGGGAGTAGATTAATCACAGGTTTTTACATAATCAGAATTTGCATCAAGGTGGTGGGATCTTGAGTAGAGTGTTGGATATTGTAGAGTGTTGGATATTTCCACAGTTTATTTCATTTCATAAGTTTGGATTTATTTAAACTCTGGTTTGATTTATTTACTACTTTTGTTGAGTTTTGAATAAGAGCCTTAATGGTTTCAACTTGTAAAACTAAATTTAGTTTTGATTTTTGGTTTTGAAACTTATTGATAATTGAGTTAGTTTTTTCCGCTGCTAATTTCTGAACTAGCCTTAACGTTTGAACACGTGGCGGTAACTCGTTAGTAATTCCCTTACAAATTATTAAAGGTATTTATAGGTTTTTAAGAGAGAATTATTGGGGTGTTATAAATTTGGATTGTGCCGAAAGACATTTATACTTTGTTTGGATCGAAGGAAATGGATGGAAAGAAAGGGAAGGGAAATGGAAGGATGAACTATCTTTCATTTGGATAACAAATGAGGGAAGAAGAGAATTGGAGGGGGAGAAAAATGGAGGGAATAAATTGAAGAAATTGATCTCTCCAACAATGGAGAGATTTGGAAGGAAAAATCATTCTTCCCTCCCCTTCCCTTCCCACCCCTTCCCCTCCCTCCACGTCTTTTCCTTCCTCTTTCTCTATCCAAACACACCATTAATTAACTTTGAGCATTGTATAAAAAGTCAAGCTTTGAGATATTAACACTATGTTTGGATAGAGAGAAATGTAGGAAAAGGAGGAGAAGAGAAAAAAAAAGGATGCATCATCTTTTGTTTGGATACCTAATGTAAGGAGAGAAGGGAAGGGAATTTGAAGGATCCATTTTCCTTCCCCTTTTAATAAACCAAATCCTTCCATTATTGGAGAGATTTGGAGGGAAAGTGGAAGGTCACTTCCTCCCTCTCCCTCACCTCCCTTTCCCCTCCCTCTTTTTCCTTCCCCTGCTTTTCCCCTCACTAGTGTTATCCAAACATAGTGTTAAAATTTTGAGAAGTTAAAAAATTCTCAAATTTTGAAGTCACTGTTTGAATTTGGACATTCGATTTATTAACTTTTTTTTTTTAAAAAAAAAAAAAAAATTCATTTTAGGGTGCATAAAAATAAAAAATAAAGGACACTCATATATTCTGAGTGCCTCAAATCTTACTGGAGATGCCTGCATTTTCTGTGGCTAGTGCATGTAAAGCACCATCGACCTCGATTTTCAATCGTTCCAGACTTCTTCAGTCTTTAAGCTCCCAAAAATTACACACTCAATCGGTAACTCATAAACCTCTTTTTTAAATTACCTTTTGTGTTGTAGAATTATGATTTTCTAACTTTGATATGGTCCCAGGTTGCAAAAGTTTCAGCAATTTCAACTGACATTGAGTTGTTGTCGCTGAAATCAAGCTCGAAGAAAGTTAAAGCTATGGCTGTGTCCGAATCAATCTCTACATCACAGTTGGAGTCTGCCTCTACAGGTTCAGGTACTTTCACCCTTCCTTTGTTCTTTTATTGCGCAAATGTTACTGTACTCTTCTATGCCTTTGGGTATTTACTTTTCAAAGAGGGCATACAGGATTAATGAATACATGATTGAGTTTGATTTTTTCTTCTAAATTTATGAAAATTCTGCATAATTTTTTATTTGATTTTTTGTTTTTTATAGGCTCGGGGACAAAGCAGGTGTTGATTTCACTATCCGATAAAAGTGACTTATCTCAGCTTGGAAGTGGGTTACAAAGCTTAGGGTCAGTTTTGCAGTCACCACCTCTTTTTAGAACATTGCGCTCTTCAATTGTACACATGTCATGTTTAATTATGTTTCATACATGTTCCATATGTTACATGTTCTTGCCCATAGTGTAAATCTTGTTTTATCTAGGTAATCTGCATTATTTTGAAGGGTCATACCCATGTCTGACAAGTATGGCTAGATAGGCGAAAGAGCCAAGTAACGTATGTTGCTTCTGTATTAATTGTTATTGTCAATTAGTTACTGAATTTAATATAATGTTATATTCAATTCTAGCCTGATTGAACGTCCTATCCGCCTGTGTAATCAGTTTACTGTCAATGTTCTAATATTTATTTAGTGTATATCTTATTCTCATCCTTCTCCAAGATGCTGGCATATATCAGTAGATATATCTTATCCTCTTGTACACATATATATGTAACTGTGATCAGCTCACTCTTTGTATACAAAAATAAAAGAGGTAGAAATTTATTGTCATTCTTCTCTAAGATGTGGTCATTTTTAGAAACTAAAACTTAAACTTTAAATTGACTATTTCCAAGCTGTAGTGATGATTGAATAATTTATGTTGGCTTCTAGGCTAATATTTCCTACTTGATGCTTGAAATAAGTTTACTATCAGAAATTGAAGATGAAATCCACCTTTGTTTATTCCGAAGCTTCCAAAATCTGGAATAGTTTCAGTACAGAAGGATATCTAACAAGTTAAATTTGGATTAGAATAATGAACAATGTATGAATAGTTAATGTTTGTTGCCTTGTCTTTTAATGTAGAGGTGAAACCTGGTTGGATTCGTTGGGTGCAATTATTAATATCTGCAATCTTAATTTGTTACTGTAATGCCATCCATGGCTTGTGATGCAAGTTATAAATTTTCAGATATCACGGTCTTCATGGGTAACCAAAATTGTTTTGAAAGCAAGAGCTCTATACATGATTCTGTTACTATAATGTGTCATGAAGTATTACTTTTAATAGCTGTATAATGGCTATTTATGCTTCAGAAAAGTCTTTGGAGATTTGCAGTTGAATTAGTCTCATAATCTGTGTGTGTGTGTTTTTTTTTTATTTCATTTTTAGTGTTTATTTGCTTTTCTGTCTATACACTTGATAGATGATATTGCAAAATAAAAAAAAAATTTCTTTCCAAAAATTTGATGTGTTTTTTTCCCCTCTAGATACACAATTGTTTCGACTGGAGGAACTGCAACTTCTCTGGAAAAGGCTGGTGTGGCTGTTACTAAAGTGGAGCAGCTAACTTGCTTTCCCGAAATGGTGAGCCTTCTGTATGTTTTGCACAAAACTCCTGATCTTGATCTTCACCATATTCGCCTTTTCTCCCAACTGCATGATTTTACTTAATACTTTGATGTATAAGCGGTATAGTACTTGGTCTTTAAGTAAGGTACATGTGCTGTTTAAGTGCCTATTTGATATGATCTCTCTTCCTACTTGTAAAGTTATAGGCACAAGTGGGAGAAAATAACATTTTATCCAGTGTCCAGTATCTTCCCTGCCCAAGCTATCTACTAAAAAAGTAGATCTGTGTTCTTATGCCCACATTGTATCTGAAAAAAGAAATAGAGTAAATCACTAAATTGGTCTAATTCCATGAAATACACTTTAAAGGACTGCTGTAGGGAGTTTGTGTACCTGCGAATGTATGTCTTATTATTTTTGAGCCTATACCATACTTGTTTTCAATCACTTAGATGCATGAAAATGCTTATGAAAGCAACATTTTCTGTTTTGAAAACTGGAAACTTGGTGATGCTCATAATCTCACTTGTAACTTCAAAGCCAACATAGAATCGTAACTTTTTATCTATATATATGGATGATAAAATCAAGATTCTCGATTTCAGGTCAAAAGAATTGATTATTTTCTGTGATTTTGTATTCCCACATGTTTCTCATTTGTTTAGACATTTTGTATTTCCATGTTTCCGCATTGCTATGTTTCCATTTTCCGTTTCAATTTTCTTATATTCCAATGTTTTGATGCCTTTCATCCCTAGCTTCCTGCTAAAGGTCCAAATTAGTGGATGATATCTACTTCCTTTTTTAAATTTGCGCAAAAATAAAAATAAAAATATAAGGAATCTCTAGTAATTTCTTTTTTTTTTAGCTACATCTAGAGAGATTTAAAGTAGGATAACTAATGCAAAGGGATTGATGGGACATGTGACCATATAAGCAACATACCATGCAATCCCATAAAACAGCCATCTAGCCTTGTACAAGTTATCTTTCTGACCATTGTAAACTGCTGCCCTAGTGGTAACTCATAAATTGCCTTTTGTTGTTCTACATGTTTCCACACGTTTCTTGAAAGTCGAAGTTTGATCTGCATTATGTTCTGAGTTGAATCAAATATGAAATGGTCAGTCAAACTCCCTGGTCTTTACCACCTAATAATGAATTTTGTTTTTCATATTCATTCAAAGCTTACTATGTATCAGTGCATCCTCATTCTGGGAGTGATAGATCTCTCAGTTGTTTGTTTGCTTGAAAGATATGTCCTCACACATACGTGCGCACACTATAGGGACATAAAGGGGTATAACGCTCATGCCCTGAACAGACTGATAATAATAAAAAATTATTGCATTGCCTTTTACAGCTGGATGGGCGTGTAAAAACTTTGCATCCTTACATACATGGAGGCATCCTTGCTAGAAGAGACCTTAAGCATCACATGGATGCTTTACAAGAACATGGAATTGGTCAGTTACACTCTAGGTTGATTACTGACTTTAATTTCATGTGATGTTTATATGGTTAATAAGTTTGATACAATGTACTTGCAGGAACCTTTGATGTTGTTGTTGTAAATTTATATCCCTTTTATGATAAAGTGACTTCTTCTGGAGGAGTTCATTTTGATGAGGGAATTGAAAATATTGACATCGGTGGACCTGCGATGATCAGAGCTGCCGCAAAGGTAATTCAACTGCTTGGAATAGTGTAGTATGCTAGAAATTTAGTCATTTGTTGCTTAAAATAATTAGTGAAACCAAAATAGAAAATGCTATCTAAGTTATTATTTGAAGAACTTGCATTCACCCCAAATAGCAGTCTAGGCAGCTTGAGATGCATTTTGTGAAAAACGGCTGGAGGCAAGCTTCATCATTAGCGGCTAGATTGCGTTTCTTGGATCTCCTCGCCTGACTTTTCTGAAGCAAAAACTCTGTCACCTTGATTTGCATGCGTTTTATAGATAAGCTATTTTCTATTCAACAGTTTCTCTAATATTGATGATCAAACTCTGATGGTCAAACTTCATTTGACTTGATCCTAATTACATTTTAGTTGCAGACCAAGTTTTAAAACCTAGAATATGTTGTTCACGTACAAATCTTTAGTTGACTTTTCTTATCCATGCTATCTACTGACTTCTGAACCCCTAGTTGATATTATGCCTTTATGGGTTCAATCATATCTTTCCTGGGATTATGTGATGTTCTTCTCTTAATTCTTTTTTTTGTTTTCGTTTTATTTTTATTCAAAGTTTAATTACATCAGTGTTTTAACTGCTGATACAATAAACAGAATCACAAGGATGTATTGGTGGTGGTTGATCCACAAGATTATGCTTCTCTGTTAGATTACCTTAAGGGAGATCAGGAAGATGAGCAGTTCCGGAGGAAGCTTGCCTGGAAGGCTTTTCAGCATGTAGCTGCTTATGATTCTGCAGTTTCAGAGTGGCTGTGGAAGCAAACTGGAGGAGGTATGTCTATGAAGCTATAAATCTTGATGTATGGACTATGGACAATACTATTTATTGAAAAAACTCTTCATGGATACATTTTAAAATTAGGATTCTGGTGGGCTAAAATCAAATTTACTTAGTATTGCTGTGTAAGTTGTAGGGGCAATCAGCTGACTTTTCCAATAAAAACTTGAAAGGAAACAATCCCTTTGCATTTGCAAATCTTAGTCTGTAGAGGCCTCTTTGTAGTTAAATGCTACATTGCTGCCTAGGCAGGAGCCTCATCAAATGCATTATGGGTATTGTTGTGGTTGTCTATAGACTGAGAAGGCTTTCAGTTCATTACCTAATATTTTGTTTAGGCACCTAGTTTTTCAAAATTTTCTTCATTGTGCACTGTTCACTGTCATTTGTTAACCTCTTTGATTTACTATACTGGAAAGGGTATCACATTTACAAATGTTCTGAGAGAACATTGTGATCATGCTGAATTGCTAGTTCTTCCAGTTAATTGTTCCTCTTTCATCAATAATGGTAATTTTGTTTATCATGAACCCTTATTCACATGTCATAACCAGAATGTGTATCCTCTACAAACGACCATATGTCTATAATGTTCATCATAAAGAATTTTTAGCCATTATTATAATCATCATTAGGGATGAGACTAATATTTTTTTTTTTTGTTGAAGACAAATTCCCACCCAGCTTTACAGTGCCATTATCCCTTAAAAGCTCTCTTCGGTATGGGGAGAATCCTCATCAGAAAGCTGCATTTTATGTTGACAAGAGTCTTGCTGAGGTTAATTCTGGTGGTATTGCTACAGCTGTTCAATACCATGGAAAGGTGAGACAAGTGTAGAATGCTTATGTGCTCTGAATTAATGCCTTGAGAAGTTATTTCTTGCCCTAGCACTGAATCGTTTACAAGGAATGACTGTCTCTAAAGAATTAAATTCCACTCAGCATCAAGTATTCTGAGAGATTTTTTTATTCTGGGTAAAAGTAATTTTACCTGTCTTTATACCTGGGTTGTCCTGTTTACCCTTGCTGCCTTTTAGTGTATGACCTTTTGTTTGGAACATAGCTCGTTTAAACTTGACCTAAGTTTGACAACACTTTTGATGAAGGATTGTCTATGCTGTAGAAATTTCTAATGCTTTAAAGCTGATATATATGACTTTGCATTGTAAATTCACTCATTGGTAGTGGTGTCAGGTGTGGGGCTAGTACCATTGTGTAACCCTTACTCACATGAAGCTTGAGTACATTGCAGACAGAAAGAAGTAATATTAGAGTTTTGACCTTTGTTTGATAGGAATTGAGAAAGGTTTTTTCAAAATCGTAATTGGAGGGAGAATCATATCGCATCACTGAGTTACTGTCCAAGTGTCTTGGGTAGTTCAAACTCCAAAGCTTTTGTCTAGATGTTCTTTCATCTATCTGTTTGATAGCGCTTGGTTTTAGTCCTTGGGATTTTTGCATCACATGACGTCTCATAAATTTTGGGTTTCTCCATCTAATTGAGGATTTTATGCAACCTAAGAGAATCATCAATTTTTTTCTTTCCGCAGGAAATGTCGTATAATAACTACTTGGATGCTGATGCAGCTTGGAATTGTGTCTCTGAATTCAATGATCCAACATGTGTGGTGGTGAAGCATACAAATCCTTGTGGAGTAGCTTCACGCAGTGACATTATCGAAGCATACAGGCTAGCAGTCAAAGCAGATCCAGTTAGTGCATTTGGCGGCATTGTAGCTTTCAATGTAGAAGTTGATGAGGTAATCACCTGTTCCAGTTGAATCAGTTATGGTTCTTGGATAATACATTTATATTGTGGTAGGCATAAGGGTTAATGATCATGTGAATAGTATCATATCATTAAGGATTTGGCTCTACAATCGAACTTAGGCTATTCATCATGAGGCAAAGCAATTATTCTACTAAATTCGTTTTGACTGAGAAAGAGCATCTTTCTTCTTATCATTATAGTTTCATTGTCCTAAATAATAAACGTCTCATGATTAGGCCGTCCGAAAAAATAATAGGCCTATCAAAACTTACTTTCATGAAATGTATAAATCTTTTTAGTTTTAACTGTCTCAATTTGCAAACATTTTTATGTCATTAATTTGTCTCTAGCCGTACTTCATCTCTACATGGTATTGGGAACTTTGAAGCTTAATCCATCTCATGAAAGGATTCTCTTGGTGATACTTCCAGCAATTTATGTAATCGTTCCTTGTTTATTGGTTTTGAACTTTTCACTACTGCTAATTTAAAAATGTTTGTGCTGGTGTTCCTCTGGAAACAATTGTACTTGTCTTAAACTAATATCAGGAGTGTAACTGCTTATTTATTGGTTTTGAACTTCTTATATCAGTAAGATTTCCTTAAAACTCATTTTGTAGCAATAAAGGACTGATTCTAAATGCCATTCTTGATTTAAACACTTTGAAGGCTCTTGCAAAGGATATTCGAGAATTTAGAAGCCCTACTGATGGTGAGACTCGGATGTTTTATGAAATTGTGGTTGCACCCAAATATTCAGAAAAAGGACTTGAGATACTACGTGGAAAATCAAAGACCTTAAGAATCCTTGAGGCAAAGAAGAATGACAAAGGGAAACTTTCTTTGCGACAAGTTGGAGGTGGTTGGTTAGCTCAGGAGTCAGATGATTTGACACCTGAGGATATCCAATTTAAAGTTGTCTCTGAAAACACTCCAACAGAGAAGGAGCTAAGTGATGCACAGTTTGCCTGGCTTTGTGTGAAGCATGTAAAGAGCAATGCTATAGTGATAGCAAAGGTGAAAACCATTATTTATTCTTGTAACTCATGCATGTCTTAGGTGACTTTCCTTTTAATTTTATTTTTCAACTACTACGCATTAATTGCACCGATGGATTATACTAATAGTCAGAAGAGTTTCACATTCAAAACTTGCACGATTCTTTCTCAATTTCCAAATACTTCTTTGAAGTGGGTTTTAAAGGTTGGCTAGGCTTGCTTCGTTGCTTGGTTTATGCTATAGCCTTAAGTGAACTGAAATGGTTGTTTATACATGTGGTATTTTCTTTCTTTCTTTGGTTTGTATTTTATCTATGTACAAATATTTTTTTCCAGAACAATTGCATGCTAGGAATGGGGAGTGGGCAGCCAAACCGCCTTGAAAGTATGAGGATTGCTATGAGAAAAGCTGGAGATGAGATCAAAGGAGCGTCTTTGGCAAGCGATGCTTTCTTCCCATTTGGTAATTATCTTTCATGTAGTCTGTATTTTCAATATTCTTGCAAAGTTAGCCTGCTTGCTCGTGAGTCTCAACTGTTAATTGCTATCCATAGCTGCTATGTTAAGTTGTTGCTAAGTAGTTCAGTATCATATATCTTGATGTATCATTAGTTCATAGGAATGTATTTCGTACATGTTTTTAACTTAGTGGAAGGTCAAATAATGGAATTTTAATACGTTGTTTTGTGAACAGCTTGGAATGATGCAGTGGAAGAAGCTTGTCAGAGTGGTGTAAGTGTCATAGCAGAGCCTGGTGGCAGTATAAGAGACAAGGATGCTGTAGACTGTTGCAATAAATATGGCGTCTCATTAGTTTTAACCGAAGTGAGGCACTTCCGTCACTAACCCTGATGCCAGTTGTAGACACTGTTACCTTCTCCTTGCCATTATAGTTTAATTAGAGGGCAAGATGCCCAAATTTTCGTGGAAAATAATGTTTGATCTATTCGAGTCTGCATTAATTGTTGAAACAAAATATAAAATGACGTGCCTGTTCTGGTTCTCGGCCATATCACTCAGGTTTAGGTAGTACTTCCCTCATGAAATCAGACTTGCAGGGAAGGCAAAGTCATGTATAATTTGCTGTTGTATCTTGTTGCTGCACACCCATTAATTTAGCCTATTGTTAGACAATTTGCTCATTTAGTCATTTTCATTAGTATTGCAACACTTTATATAGTACACTTGCTAATGGAAGCCCATGAATCATTGCAATTGCTAATTACCAGATTGATCTAATCCATTTTGAGAGCACATAATGTATCATATACTTCCAGATTGAATTAATGAGGGAGCATGCCCATTATATAGTTGACAAAGATTTACAAATATCCATTTTTTCAATTACTTGTACAATCTAAGAAATACACGTAATGTGTGCGTGTGAAATATGGTCCAAAATAGATTATTTATACAATTTAAATGTTATTAATAGATTTCACTTGCTAATACACTTCAAGATGCCCTATGATTATTTTTTGTTCATTTGATGATTAAATGAGCAATAAGCATCCTCGTTTAGTCATTAAGATAAGTAAAATTACATTGGGTGTACCGTGTATATATAATAACCTTTGTTGATATTAGGGTTAATATATTTTTTTTCTTTGACTCGAAAAAATAATAATAAAATTCTAGTTCCTTGATCTCTCTCTCTCTCTTAATTCTACTTTAATCAATAATTTCTATTGATAAATTTTGAAAAGGCTATAAAAATTATTAGTAATATCTACTCCAAGCAAAAATCACTATTGTTCCTTCAAAAAAAAAAAAAAAAAAGATCACTATTGTTTTTTCCCTCCTAAAACCCCTTCAATTTCCATTTTTTTTTTTTTTACTTCTTAAATTTTAGGAAGGTACTTCTTAACTGTTTATTTTATTTGTTACTTGTTTCTTTATTTTATAAAAATAACATTTACCTCATTCGTTTACACTCATTTGTATGAAATTGTAAAGTTATTGATATATTTTTTTCAAGACACTCTTAAGTGTATTATATTCTACAAGTATTTTTTTTCCAATAAACAACAATTTTTAAAACTAAAAAAAAAGAATTACAATAATTATAACTGATTTATCATTTTTTTTTGTTCATGTCAAAGTTAATTAAAAATTGTGATTTTTTTTTTCATTAATTTGTACTTTCAAATTAATTAGAATTTTTTTATAATTATATTTTAAAAAGATTAGTTTATTTGCAAATAACTTAAAAATCTGAGCATTTAATTTACTCACGGATTATCTAGTTGATATTATATTATATACTATATAATAAAAATTCTACCAATATGTTACATTGATATACTTCATCCGTTCTTTTTAACTTGATCCGCTTTGACTTTTACACTATTCACCACCCCTCATTTAACCGTCTCTTGTGAATAATATATAAGGAAAAACATATTCATGTGAGATCTTTTTAAATTCGTCTTAATAAGTATATCATAATATATAACTTTTATAATTTTTACTTATGGAGAATTAAAATTATTGATCGTTAAAGTTTTGTACTGGCAAGCGTGATAAAAGAAACAGGTCAAGTAAAAAGAACAGAGGAAGCTTTTAGGAGCAGCGCGTCTTGTGTGCCGCTGACCACACCATGAGTCCACTTGTAAAAGAGCAAATTAACACTTATAACACTAACCGAGTAACCCTATTGACCAAATAACTGTTATAACACTGAATGAGTAACTCTTGTAATACTGACGAAGTAACCCCTGTAACAATGACCGAGTAACCCCTATAACACTGAATGAGTAAACCCCCGTGATAACTGGCTACACTGTGTGGCCATCCACATTTAATAACTTGTGATTTAGGAGAAGCTATTAGTCAAAATTGGCCTTGAAAATTGAAAACGATAGTGATAAGTTAATTAAGAATGGTTTGAAAAAAAAAAAAAAATAATAATTAAGAATTGACTAACAATTAAGCAATCAATATTACAAGATTCACAACGACAAGTAAAACTGTCAAATAATATACATTGTCTAATTTACCTAATTCTAGAACAAATAGTTGTTAGTTTGTTATTCCTCAAATAGTCAAATCCATTAAGTGTTGGATTAGTCAACTTGATTAAGAGTATCGAGGTTATGACATTAGGGAACAAGAAAGCATGCATGACCAAACTTAGCTAGCTTTACAGTTGAAAAAACATCCACATTGAAGCTATGTAATCTTACGTTAGTCGGTGGACATTACAACTTAATTAATCCCTTTACAGTTATGTTAAATGGGCAAAGATTGACCCATATCCATACATGATTCTCTTTTTTGAATAGTAGAAATCATACCTTCAATACGTAATCCATATAAATTGACTCTTACTAATATTTGCAGAGCTTGGTCAAAAATATTGAAGGAGTTGAGACTTGAGTCTTTTACCTCACGCTCAAAATTAAAATAAGATTATTTAAGTTATTAAATTAATTTGCTAGGGGCTGGGTCTCGAATGGCCCCGGTGAAAGGTCATCTTATTATCAAGATAAATTTTGTCGTCTCATGATAAAGATTGTATCTTCTAACCTTGAGGTTGATAGTTCAATTTGATCAGCATAAAAAAATCCATGCATTTTGAGAGTTTTTTTTAACCTTTGCCCTCCTTCCTTCCAAACTCTCTAAGTATCTAGCCTACTAACATGAGTTTGGAGGTTGACCCATTTAGGATATCAATTTAGTTAAAATAATTTTCCTTTTTTTTAAATTTTTTTTTTTTTTTTAAAAAGACACCAATCGAATTCAACCCCTATTCAAGACAAATGCCTAAAATTTATAATTTATAAAGGATCATTGTGATTTAATTGAAATAACATTTATTTGTTTGTTGCATTATTCTTACAATGCAAAGTTATTAGCAATTTCAAAATACTTAAAGTGTTTTACTCTATATACATGCATGTATGAAAATTTTGTACAAAGTTAGTGATAGAGTATATATATAATGATTCAACCATCAATTTAAACTTTTGGTTAAGTTGATAATTAAACATGGTACAAGAGATAGCGTGACACAAAGGTCATTGGTTCAAATCTCATCCACCCTTTCTTTCTAGTGGAATTTATTTCGCGTCAGGTATGGGGAGGATCAAGCCACATTCACATTTCAAGTCTGACGGACTCTCATGTGAGGGGGCATAATAAAGTATATAAAACGATTACGAGCTTCAACAATCAACTTCAGATTTTGATTAAGTTGGTCCTTTAACTGTTAGCATGCCGACATCCTATGTTAAATATGGATCCGTCACTGGTCACCCAAACCACTCTTTAACCTAATATGCATTAGAAGCATTTTAATGAACAAGCTCCGTAACATAAGGCAATCAAAGTTCGCTTTGGAATGGAAAATCAACTAATTAGACTGTAGTATAGAGGTCGATCATTAAGAGGCAAACAGTAGACAGTAAAATTAAGAAAACGTACATACACTAATTAATTAGGTATGATTTTAAGTACTGTCCACCATATCCCTATAAAAGCATAGGTTAAGCTAAGAAGCCTAAGGCTATGTTAAATTAATTAATATTAGGCCACTAAATCCGATGTTAAACATTCGAATTCTTTAGTTAGTATAACATAATAGAGTGTCAAAAAGGTATTTGTCGGTGTAATTACTTGCTTAACACTAGACTATGCTAAAAGAGAATATATAATTAGTTTAGCATGTTATTTTGCTTTCATAACTAATTGTTTGTTAACTAGGTTGCAAACCAACCGACCTACAACATGCACTTGAATTAGAAAAGTTTACTGCCTCACAAAATTTGTTGCGTCTATTTTACACAGGGAACATTCTGAATTTGTTGAATATAATGACAACTACATTTTCTTACCACCTACGTATATTTTAGTTTGGGATATTTGATGTGGTTATGCTTTATTGATACATGGTTATTATTTGTGTACTACTTGGGTATATATATAATTAATTCGGTTTGTCTAATGTGTGCATCATTTTAAGTTAAAAAAAAATAAAAATTGTCGGTTTTGTAATTAAAGTAACTAAGTATGGATGAGAATGGTAAACCCCTAAAGAAAAATATATACATATATATGAGAATGGTTATTAATCTTTTCTTTTAAGCTTCTTATTATGTAGCTATATATAAGAATTGCATTTATCATCATCCTTGAGATTTACATATGTGGGTTATTAATCTTATTATTAGTATTGATGTGATGAGGATACTAATTAGTAATTACACACCATATATCATTTGAATGTGTGAAACACCACACAGTAGACCAAGTACATGTATAAGTGGCGAATCTTGGATTACAAAGTAGAGGGCCAAGGTTTGGACCTTCAACCTCCAATTAAAAGAAAAACTATTATGATAATACACAACTATTAACATCAATATTTATAGCAATAATTAGTTCTTTAAATCTAAAAGCTAAAAATGAAACTTTATTATTACAGGTGGTTAGAGAGGTGTCAATTCCAATAATTGGGTTGGGTTCGGTGAGGTTGGGTTAAAAGTTGAGTTATATATGCTATGCGTCCATCAGGCATGTTAAAATCTAAATCGGTTATTTTCGGATTGGTCTTGACACAGAATCTTAATGACGATTCGGAAAAAACTTGTGTTGACCTGATTTACAATAATATTATTGTGGACCTAAGGTCTATAGGCCCGCAACTGGCCTTACATTGAACATAGTGATCCTAATACTAAATACAGTAACCTTACTTTTAAAATATTAAACTTTAGGAAAATTTGTCAGAAAGGTCTTTTAAGTAGGTCTTTTTGTTGTAAAGGACCTTTTATAAAAAAGGTGACACAAAAGGTCCTTTTATCGCACTTAGGTTGTGGCGAGGGTCCTTTGACCGAATTCCGACCATTGACTTTTCTTTTTTCCGGCCAAAAAAAATCACGTGTGTTGCACATCACCACTCAAAATCCTTTTTTCCCCTTTTCCCCACTTTTTCCCCTGACATGGTTCGATTAATTTGTCTTGAATTGCCTTCAATATTAATGTGAGGGAGTAGAATCGGAGTTTGATGATTATTTTTCACAAAATAGGGTTTGCTTTGAGGTGGATGATGAAGAAATTAGGATTTAATAAAGGGAAAAAGGAGGAAGGGGGAAAAATGGATTTTCGTGCAAGCCACGTAATTTTTTTTGGTTGGGAAAAAAAGTCAATTGTCGAAATCTGGTCAAGGAACCCTCGCCACAACCTAAATGCGATAAAAAGACCTTTTATGCCGCTTTTTTTTATAGAAGGACCTTTACAACAAAAAGACCTACTTAAAAGGACCTTTCTGACAAATTTTCCTAACCTTTATTAAAACCTGTGTGACCTTTAATATTATTGCGAACCTAAAATATGACATTATGTTGAATATAGTGACCCTAATTTTAACAAAGTAAAATCAAATTATTTGATCTTTTACCACCCCCCTCCCCCACCAAAAAAAAAGGAAAGAGAAAATAAGAGAACATTCATCAGTTTCACAGAAATTTGTTAGTCTGAAGACATAGTAGCCAACATTCGTTTTGTAGTCTTTGCAAATGAATGACAGAAACTGCATTTCAAGAGTTGAATAAAAGTGACCACATTTACAAGTGTAACAAGATAATCTGTTAAAACCCTTTTAGCTGTTAAATTCACAAAAAAGCAACACATTATTCTTCTTCATATAGTAATGAAAACTAATAAACAGAGAAGAGAGAATAGACTTCCAGGAGTTACACATGTTCTCATCTTAGCTTATCATTTAATTTTACTAGGAAAAACTATAATTTTTGCTAGACATATCACATTATTTCTACATACAGTAAGTGTTTGTTTTTCGTAGTAGCTTTCTTTCCAGAGAGCCCTGATATTATTTCATTTTATGTTTTAACTCGTGGTTCATGAACTCTCTACATGAAGAAGACTTAAAGGCAAAAGACAATCGTGCCCAAGAGCAATGATATTACATATTATACTAGTAAAACTAACATATATGAAATTTTATGTTTGCATATGTTTAACTCGTAGTTCAATTTATGTTTGTATATGTTAGTTTTACTAGTAATAGTATAAACAATGCCGGAAAGAAATCAGTTATTGATTTGTAAGATATTATTAATAATCAACATCTAAAATACATGTAATTTAGAAGTGTGTCCAAACAATAACATTTAATCATATTTTCATGCTCTATATTCTAATTTAAACAGCCATGATCCAAGTTGTCAGACACCTTGTACAGAATAGATAATGCTATGATTTAAGGTCAGAAGCTAAATAACCCTGCTAATTATTTAAAAATTCAGGTGAACAGCTTTATAGATAGTGATACCAGTCACTCAGTTTTGTGTTCTGCGTTGTATCCTAACTTTATGAAACCTACTCTCAATTCCTAAGTGATGTCCTATGTGAGCTCAATGGCTTGTACATAACAAAACTGAGATCCAGGATATTGCACTATATTTGGAAGGCAATATTTTGACAGGGTAAATTATTGCTGCAAAATCTATTTGATTACGACAAGACGTAATGTTTATGTTCAGACAAGCAATGGCTATCTAAAATGACATATCAATGTGTGTAAGTGTGTGTGTGCGTGTGTGCGTGTGTGTGTCTGTCTTGCAAACTAATTGGAAAAACAATCCATTTACAGCCACTTGCTTCAACCAAAATATAGTATGAACTCACAGTGCCTAAAAAAATAAAAAAGTTGAAGTATATACCAGGAATTTTAGAATGACGATAAAACTGCTTATTAATATACAAGTAGATTTCTATAAGCTGAGGAGAACAGTACCTAAGGCCACTAACCCTAAATGGATAACAAATGAAGCTAATAAAGCTTGAACAGCTATATAAAACTTTACGGTGAGGAAGAGACAACTGAGCTTCCTAAGGTCAATCTGTCCATGTAAAAGATGCATGATAAGTAAATGGCAATAAATAGTAAATTTATAAATCAGAAGCAATTTCTATGGAAATATTTTTTTCCTGTTGCCTGTTGGTTTTACCAAAGATGAAGAAAGAACAGTTAAACTAAAATTCTTACAGCTTACCTGCTAGATTAAGTAGAAACAAATTCTTCAATTTGAGCTTGATTGACAAAAAAGAGTGTTCCTGACACTTGCAAATCCAGAGATGGTTTTAGAAAGCTCTTGCTCCTAACCCTTGCAAAGTATTCCCTTTTTTTTTTTTCCTCACATAATGCCACAGGGAAACCATCCCCAAAAGCCCCAAGGTAGGAGGAGAGCCCATAATCTTATATAAGCCCTATATCAGTCCCCCATATGACCGATGTGAGACTCTAGCTAGTCCCATAACCTTGCAATGGACATAACGGGTCCCTCTCCTGTTGAGCTCAAGGAGTAATGCAATCCATTTGCAAGTAAGTTATTCCTGCTGCTGAAAACCTGATTCGCAGTTGAGAAGTTGATCATTGCTTTATATTTGGCAAGTTGCTTTTGGTTGCCAAATCATTTCCATGCTTCATTAACAGTACACTACAAAAATTATTTAAAAATTCACCCAAAATCAAACCATGGCAAAGCAGCATATCCATTTCTTAAGCATAGTCGCCAGTCTAAGGTTTCCGGTAAGCACCAGTGAAGAGCGCAAGCAAAGCTGGAGCTCGGCCTGTTCTGCTAGACCCTGTATTGATAGGGCATGTTTAATTCAACAAAGCTTTTTCAAAGACCCGAAAAAAAGCACTTCTCAGGCTCGCAACCATAAGGGCTTGCCGTTCAAGGCCGCTTCCCATTACTCAATAAAGCAATCTCTCGCTCCTGTTTGTTTATTCAGGACGGGGCAGGCAGCTGCGTACATGAAGAGGAGAAGAGGGTGGTTGCCTACCTTAGAGGTTTGAAAAGGGTTATATCTTTTGAATAGAGCTGATTTTGCCACTGTTTGTGTAGACTTCTGATTTACCAGCATAATTCAACTGCAGTCCCCAAAACAAGATTGCAAGATTATTCTGCTTCACCCACAACTCATCATACTAGTGTTCTGAGCTCAAAACACATGAAGTAATAAAAGTCCAGTGACAGCAGTATCATTTCCACTTCCATGGTTCCATCCCATGTTTGTAAACTTGAAAGGCCTGAAAGATCTCATATTGTGTGGACATAAATATCACCAATAATCCCCACATGAACACTCACCATCAATAAAATGATGGAATCTGTTAGAGTCTCGCAGCACAATTTGGCGACCAACAATTTTTGATATGTATCGAAAAGCTGAGTGACAGTCACCACAAACTCGCAGATTTTTCATTATCCTGATGGTGGAATTTGATGTGCGAGTAAGGACAAAGGCAATGGCCAGTTTCTCACTGTGATAGCTCAGGAGTTCTTCCTTGCTCTCTGGTTCAAGATCATATAAAGCAAAGCTTGTCTGTGGTACGTAACCAGCCTCCCTCATCTTTCTCAGCAGTTCTCCAAGTTTTTCATATATTGCATCTTTCTCTGGGTGTGATTTGTCTCCTGCAACAAACACATGGACGCCATCCTTCATAGTGACCCAACTGCATCCAGCTTGCTTCTTTGCTGCTGCTAAACTCATTGCAGACCGGGTAATGGCCAAGTTTTCCCAATTTGATCCTGCAGCGTACATGTTACCAAGAAGTACATAATTTGCGCCATTTTTGGGCTCCAGCTGCAAAAGCATCTCTGCAGCTCGCTTACCTAATTCACTGTTGTGACCACTGGTCCGACTGCAAGACCCCAGAACTGTTCTCCAAATAAGATTGTTTGGCTTCATAGGCATTCCGTCGATGAAATCTTCAACTTTATCCAATTTACCTGATCGCCCAAGCAGGTCAACCATACATGAAAAGTGCTCCATTTGAGGTTCCAATCCATATTCGCTGCTCATAGACTCAAAATACTTGAAACCCTTTTCAACTAATCCACCATGACTACAAGCTGATAGGACTCCAACAAATGTGACATGATTTGGAGGTTGACCTTCTTCTTTCATTTGTTCAAAAATCTCTAAAGCTTTGTTGGCAAACCCATGCCGTGCATACCCCGATATCATGGTATTCCAAGTAAATATATTCTTCACTGGCATCAGATCAAAAAATCTTGTAGCATAGTCTATCCTTCCACATTTTGCATACATGTCAACAATTGCACTTCCCACCACAACATCAGATTCCAGATGAGCCCTGATTTGACAAGCATGGACTTCCATCCCACGCTCCAAAGTAGCAACTGAGGCACATGCACTAAGAACAGTTGCAAAGGTGAAGTGGTCTAACTTCTGACCACTCTGCATCATGAGCCAAACGAGGTCAACAGCCTTGGATAAATACTCATTATGCACGCAACCAGATATCATGGTGTTCCAACTAACCTCATCCTTCTGAGCCATTCTTGAAAAGATTGATTCACAGTCTTCAATTCTGCCACATTTCCCATAACAAGAGATGAGCGCATTTTCAACTGTAATGTTATTTGCAAAGCCATAATTGAATGCCAATGCATGAACCTGTGGGCCTAATTCAGAAAGAGAAAGAGAATCCGAAGAAACTGCCGAAAGTATATTCACTATGGTCACCCCATTAAGCCTCCAGCCCGATCGCATCATCTTCAGGATATACTTAACAGATTCCGATCCATATGTTTCTGAGTCAGCCAATGCACCAATAATAGAATTCCAAGAAACTTGATCATGCTCTGGCATCAAAGTAAACAGTTTCTGGCATTCTTTGAAACTTCTAGTATCTGCATACATAGAAAGTAGTGCATTGGAAACTGAGACATCAGAGTCAAGTCCTAATCTAAGTGCTTCTGTATGTACTTGCGCCCCTTGCCTCAGCCAACCCAAGCTAGCACATGAACTCAAACAACTTATCAATGCAAAATTTGTGGGCCTAATTCCAGATCTCCTCATACGGCAGAAAGTAGTAACAGCATCTTCAAACAGTTCATTTTGATCAAGACCAGCTATCAATGAGTTCCATGAAATCAAGTCTCTCTCGTCCATTTGTTCAAAAACTGCACAAGCACTATCTACAGCCCCACATCTTGCATACATATTAATAAGGGCATTGGCAACTGCAACTTTAGCATCCCTTAGGCCACTTCTGATTGCATAAGCATGGAGTTCTTTACCCTTTCTTCTCCCTTCTTCCAGTTCATCAAATTCAGCAAAAGCGCTTAATAGGACCACATAAGAGTCCGGATTGACTTCAACCAAATATTTCATCCGTTTGAAAACATCAACAGCTTGTTCTCCATTCTTTTGATTTACTAACCCAACCATTAAGCCATTCATAGTGACTGCATTTCTAGTACTCATACACTCAAAAATCTTCCATGAATCATCAATTAAACCAAACTTGGCCAATCCACTAACTAAAGCACTTCCTACATACAAATCATCCAGAAATCCAGATTTTTGCACTCGCGAGGCTATTTGCTGTAGTAAGCTTGAGCCAAATAGTGAAGAGGAAGATGCAACAGCAATTAAGCTACTCAATGTATAAGCATTAGGCTTAAAATTGAACCCTGAACCTTCATGTAGCATCCTAGCAAACATCTCAAAAGCACCAATTGTGTCTCCTCTTTTAGAATTCACTGAAATAATAGAGTTCCATGATACTGAAATCTTCCCATCTATTTCATCAAACACTCTCCTAGCATTATCCCCCGACCCCAAGCAACAACTTCCATACATCGAAATCAACACATTACCAACAAGAACATCATGAGCATAGCTCGTCTTCGATATCAAACCATGAATTTGCAAACCAAATTTCAGATAATCAGGCCCCAAATCTTGGCAAGCGCGCAAGACACTACCAAATGCATAGCTATTAGGGGCATAACCCGCAGAAACCATGTCCCTGAACGTAGCACATGCTGCAACCAGCATACCATTTTGATCGTAACCCGAAATCAAGCAAGCCCAACTAACCAAATTTCTCTCAGACATTTCATCGAACACCTTGCGTGCAGAAACAAGATCACCAAATCTAACATAAACATTGATAAGGGTATTAACAAGAAACAAATCTGCTTCAAACCCATGTTTGTAAATTCCAAGATGAAGCTGGTTAGCTTCAGTTGAAGAACAAGAATGCTGGTACCGATACACGAAAAAGTCTCGAATTTCAGAGCTATAAGTGTGTTCTGGAGGAAGATAAGAGGAGGAGAGAGGAAGAAAAACATCATAGTGGTCGACAACGGCGGCGCAACGGCTTCTAGGATACGAAGAAGTGGTGGCCGCAAGCGTAGAGAAGCGATAGGAGCACCAAGTGATGAAATTCCGTTGGAGTACTCGGAGAGACATTTACAGTTTACTTGCCTACTTGATGTTCAATTGGTTCATACTTTTTAATTGGCGCCAAAGTTTAATACCCGTGGTCACAAAGATTGAAAGATGGTTGTGACTTGTGACTTTGCCAAGCCGGGTTGCTTCATGTTGCCTAGTTCTTGATCTACAAAAGGTTCTACTAACTATGTGTCGTGTCGAATTTTTGTAATGCTAGTTAAAGTATGATCTAAGCTTGGTTGAAAATTTGGTTTATGGTTAGATTTGACTCATTTTCAATTAGTTTGGTTTTCAAGTTTTGAATTTTCAAATCTCCATAAACTACAACCCAATCAAAGCTCCAACCCATGTATCAATAAAAAAAATAAATAAAAAAATATCACACATTTCATATCATAACATTTCTTTTTTATGCATTTTTATTTTAGTCTGTTTTTGACAAATACATCGTAAAATCTTACAGAATATTATATACTTTTATCTTCCGAAAGTTGAAGTTTTCAAGGACATTACTACTCCATACTCCATCCATTTTTGACAAACACGTTGTAAAATCTTACTATATACTGTGTTGAAAACTTTTTTTATTTTTATTTTTTTAATAAAGCATATTTTGTGAATAAAAATATAGAAAGAGTCTTCCAAGGTTAGAATATTAAAAATATAGAAAGTGTCACGATTAGAATATGAGATATAATATGTTTCAAAAAAAAACAAAAGAATATGAGATATAATCAATATCGGAAAATATATGTCTGATATATTCTCCATACTATATTATTAAGAGAATAATATATTTAAAATTATTTATATTATCATATTATTTAGTGAATATAGGTTTAACATTTATAGTTATAGTAGTATAAATTTTAGAAAGATTGTTTCCAATCTTAAATTATCCTACGTTTTGTATAAATACTCAATCTCCCTATTGTTTCGCGGTTTTCTGTGTCCTTCGGGAGAGTTACAACACCAAGATTGGAATCCGGACGTTTGTACCTGCAAAACAACGGAGACTTAGGTTGGGGGAGTTTTGCCTCCAACGATCAAGTTAGAACCGGAGTGGAGTCTGTAATAAATGCGGAAGTTAAGAATATTCTCGAATTACGAGATCAGGAGTAAATGATCTGCAATTAATATGCTCGGTTAGTTGTATTGAATGTGAATGTTTTCCAATTGGGAAACATCTCCCTATTTATAGGGTCTTGAAGTATGTGCCACGTGTCCAAAAGGGATTGGTTCTTATGAACCACTCTAAAGGTGACACGTGTCACACACTGATTGGTCCACGTGGCATAGGGTATTTTTACCCTAAACATTTGCCCTTCACAAATGTGACGTGGCATGCCACGTGACATCTATGACACTTGTCACTAGATCATTGGCTGATGGTAATAACCGTTCGCCTTCCTGGGGAGTTTACTGAGATGCCCCTTCGCATTACCCTCCTTTATATAGCCGTTCAACCCCTTCATTTTGGCACTTTCCAAAGTTTAGAAAGAGAGAGAGTCAACCGGCGTCCAGAGAGAATTGTATTGAAAAACCCGCCTGCTCCTGCCTGTAAACACATCCTGGATTGTCAGACGGCACAACTCCTTGAAAACCGTCTGAGGGGTTTGCAAGCAATCTCTTTAATTTCCAGAGGCACATACGTGTATATCGTATGTGCTTCAACTAGTTCAAACTTCCAAAAACCGCTCGGGTACACCCTAGCAAATACACCTGCTTTCACAGAGGGTATATCTGGTCAAGCGCCTGTGCCCCTTGCAAGCCATCATCTGACTTTAGTCTGCTAATTCAGCCGGTCGACACTTTGTTTTTTCAGCTTATTTTTGAGGTACCGTGTCTACCTCCCTCAACTCTTTCATGTATTTTAGTTTGTGTCTTTTTCTCTTATAAAAATAAATGGACTCAACAACTACACACACGACACACCACGATTTAGAGGGCAACCGGTCCCCTAGTACGGCTGAGTTTAGGAATGGGGGAGCAGCCTCTGGGTACTGGGATTCCCCTTGTCCATCTCCCTATTCGACCATCTCCGTGTCTGTGCAGGACACTATGGCTCGAACTAGAAAGACGCCTGTAGATCCGGAGTATAAAGGAGAAAGCTCCGAAGAAAGGCCGCCTGAGATGGGTCAGGCTGAGATGGCAAGGGAATCTCCTGGAGGTACCCCAAGCACCTCTAGCGATGGAATTTTGGGGTCTGATTGTGGAGGCGGTAAAGATGCCGCCTCTATCTCTGATGCTAAAAAGGGAGAACCCTCCAATGAGGGAAACAACAGTGAGGCCGCCTCTAGGTCGAGGTCTGAACAGAGTAGCAGCAGTAGCTATCTCACACTGGTTATAGATAGCGAGGAAGAGGAAAGGCCCACTTGGAACAATAAGGGTGATCCCCTCCAGATCCAGGTCTCAGCCAGAGACAGGGCTAACATGGAAAGACATCTGGAAACCTTTATCCTCAAACGGCCTCTAGGACCGGGGTATACCATTCGGGTACCGCCTGAGTTGGGTACAATAGCTTGGGAAGATGATCAACGCAATGCAAACACGTATTTCGGCTGCTATGAGGCAGCCTTTTTAGCCGGTCTCCGCTTCCCTTTGCACAACACAATAAAGGCCATTTAAGAGGATATGGCCTAGGCGTGTGGCAGTTAACCCTAAACTCTTGGGTTAACATCTTAATCTACATTGCCGCTTGCAAAATACAGGGTCTCCATCTCGGCTGGGAGGCCTTTGCCCACATGCACTACTTAAGTCGAAGTCCAAACGGGTGGAGGGCATGGTATACTCTGACCACTTACCCCAAATACCTGATGACCTTAGACAAACCGTGTAGTGGTCAGATTGGAAGAACCGCTTCTACCTGGTCTCTGCCCCACAAAACAAGAGAACTTCGAATTTAGGACCTACAACCGGAAGCCAAGTCTGTTAGGACAAAAGTGTAAATTGCCCGAGGTCTCGGATGAGGAGTATGAGAGAATCATAGAGGCGAGGTTCTTTGAACTTGCTACCACCACCCTCTCAACCGGTGAGCTAATAAGCGTACCCAAGAATTGGATACCCAAACACGAGTTTATGAGAGATGAGGCTTTCTTATCCGCCTGCGGGTTGAGCACCCAGTTTACTAAACGTATGTTGTGGATATATCCGGCACTTATTATGCCGCCTTCGCTACTTTTTACTTGTGATTTTTTTGCGTAATTGTCTAATCAGACGATTTCTTTTTTGCAGTAAACGCTTTAAGGATGCTGCCTGAGAGCAAGACTCTCTGCACGATCCGCCACAGACATCCGCAAGGAGAATGCGGAAAAGAAGAAGGCTGCACTGGCGGCTAAAAGCCAGGTATAAATGCCTGTCACTCCCTTTCTTGCATTCATTAGTCTTAATTTATGCCGGCTGACCATAATGACCCCCAATTTTTATTCAGGATGGGAGCAAGGCGCCTCGGTCTCTTACAAATTTGATCAGGCCACGACCGGGGGGTGAGGTTGCTATCCCCAACAAGTCTCAAAAGTCTTCTGCCCAGATGGTTCCAGGCCGTGTGACTATTGGGGGCAAAAGCGTTAAAAACACTGGTTTGGGATTCGATCTCACAGCCGGATGCCTCTGAGGCATCGAAAGGTGGAGAGCCACCCAAAACTACAGGTGGCCCTATAGTTATTGTATCCCAAGGTACAACCGATCCCTTCAACCCTCTTGTGCTTGGCAAACCCATGCGGGTCAAGTCACACTCTCACCCCTAACCAGAAGATTCTTCTGGCAGCCGGCAATCTATAGGAGGAGCGTATGTAGCTTTCTCACCGTCTCTTTCTGGTGCAGCTCTCCCCCCGGTGGCCGGATGTACAATAGTACTTTAGGGCCATGCTGAAGTCCATCCCCAAAGAGGAGAAGGAGGCAATCTCAGGGATCAACGCCTTCAATGCCGACCGGGTCCTGGCTAATCTGGCTGAGGTATGACCACTAGACTTGGTATATATATATATATATATATATATATATATATATATATATATATATATATATATATATATATATATATATATATATATATATATAGATTTTGATCTTCTAACCCTGGCTATGATCATGTAGACAATGCTGTGCGTGGAGGGGCTGAAGAAAGCCTATGCCAGGAAGCAGGAAGAGGTAAGACGGGTTAAAAGAGAGGCGTCTGAGACCCATAACGTTGCTCAATATTCCATGATAGTGCATGAATTAGAAACTAAAAGTCAAATCATGCAACAGGCGGACTCTATCAAACGGCTTCAAAAATCCCTCGATGAAGCCAATACCAAACTCTTCAATCTTCAGGAGGCTTACAATAACTCTGAAGAAGAGCTTAAGAAGACCGAGAAAAATCTCAAATCCTTGGCAGACACCAAGAAAGAGAACTCCTCCTTAAAAACAGAAAACAAACGCCTGAAAAAGGAGATGGCTGCTACTAGCAAGAACTTTGAAACTACCCTTCATGCTGAGCAGAGCCGGCTCATCGAGGAGAATGAGCAAGACTGCGAGAGCCGCATGAGAATGGATTGGTCCCTAGTGCATCCGGATACGGAATATTCTGTGTGGGAACTGGCCTATAAATATGCAGATCTTGCCATTCTGGCCAAAGAGGAGAACAAGCCAGAGCCCGAGCCGTATGAGGACTGGGCAAAGAAGGAGATTGAGGCCATGCAGGCTGAGGCGGGCTTTGATGGGGAGGAGGAGGAGGACCAAGCAGAAAATCAGGAGACTCCTACCCCAGAATCAGCCGCCAAAGATGCGCCTCCCCCGGCTTCTCAGGCTTAAGCTTATTTTTATTTTTATTCACATCTCCGACCTGCGTGCCGTGTATCTTGTAATTTTAACAATATTCCTATTTCCTGGGTGTTCATTCGGTTGACAATTGCTCTTGGCCTTCTGGTCGGGTTGATTAATGATCATTTGCCGACTGTGTCGGTTTTGTAAATTTGATTTCGATGTTTTACAATTTCGTTGAATTTTTGCATGTTGCATTTTGCTAATTTTAACAACATTTGCCCCTAGATGGATGTATGCTCTTTAACTGAGCAGACATCCGTCTACCAGACATCCGGGATAATGCTCTTCTAAGATGGAGAGACTGGTAAACACCGGCTGTGATTTAACTTCTAAATCAGCTTTGGCTAGTTGGTTATGATAGTCATCATAACTAGCAAGCGATTATTATCCGCATATTGCCCATGCCTTAGCAAATAGTTCAACGATAAGCAGACGAGCATAGATCGTGTGTAGGTACTTTGAACAGAAACGACTTAGCCACTAAGGTTAGGCTCAAGTCTTCAAATTAGCCGTTTGTGGTGCCTTTGAGCAACAGACGGTTTTACCCAACCAAAACAACGGTCTCTGACTGCATTAGAACAGGCGGGAGACAATTTGTCAAGGCT